TGTGGACATTACTGTCTATCACAGCGTGATGGTGGAGACCTTTGTCTGAGGTTTGAGGTGCACAGGAATGTTTGGAATGATTCTGATTCTTACTCGTCTTTCTTTGAATTGGAAAGTTTGGCAAAAAGTGTAACTTCTATTAAATCTGTCATCCTGATACTACAGGTTTTTATCCTGAGGGCTGACTAACAAGTTTCAAAGTTCACTGTTCGCTGGGTATCATCATAAATCCCTAATTTACTCTGCCCTAAAGCTCCTGAAAGGGACTCACACAGCTCAGCTTTGAGATCTGTATCTGTGTATCTGTGGCTTGTTTTAAAGAAATCTGACATTGGGTTTAAACTGCCCTGAGGCTGAGACTCCTCTAACCATCACAGATTCATGTGTGTGGCCGTGTGTTTGCAGGGCTCACACAGAGATCTGTTTCCATGGCTGGCGTGACCCCCCGAGGGGGGCAAAGAGCAGAAAAACTGGACAAATCTTTCAACTTTGTGACACACATAAACAGCTCTGTGCTGTAAAAAGGCTGCAAATACATGAATGTTTTCTAACTACTTTCTCAAACTCTGTTTTTCCCCCACTTATTTTATACATGTTAAAGTCAAAAGCTTTGTTTTCTCCTCTTGGGAGGGAGGCAGTGCATGTATTTTTAGGCTTTGCAGACACAATAAAGACTAATCCGATTCTGATTCTGGTCAGGAGGCGCCTGAGTTATTTTTCTTGTACAGTATTGTGCAGCTAAAGGAGCTCTAATAGCTCCAAACAGCTGAAGATGAACGCGTTCATAAACATCTGCAGGCAGTTCTAATAGAGACTTTCTTTAATGACGCTACGCAGTTTTATTCACATGGAATGATTTAATTTGCCTAATGTATCCTGCTTTACTTAATTAAAATTGGCTTTAAATGTATTAGATTGTGATTATTTTTTAGTTTAGAAGGAAGCAAAACAACAGTGATTTCTGGAAATGTTGCCTTCAGGTCACTCCGGATTATCAGACGTCTTTTTCTGCAGAGCAGCTTTTCGCTGATTGCCTTTTTAATGGAAAATGCAACACATTTGAGCCAGTGTTCAGACTCGTGTCTGCGGGGCTCTGAGGCAGATGTGCTGTGAACCTTTCCTGGACCCGAACAGATCGACAGATTCAACGCATCAGTGGGTTTGTGATGAGGCGGAGAAAGGCTTTTCTGGGACTCTATCGCGCTCACATTTCCCCAAAAAGGTCACTCCCATGCTGTATGGCCACAGAGGAGGGTCATGAATCACTGAGCAAGTGGATCCAGTCACAGATGGGAGTCAACCAGAGAGCGAACTTGAAGAATTTATTAGCTTTTTCAGAAGAAAATCCAATCGTGAACTGGAAGGAAGACTCCAGGGAAACGGAGCATCCTCAGAGATCTGAGAGGGAAGAAATGAAAGACGGCAGACTTTATCCTGAAGGAGGGATTGATGAATGAATGGCAGATGAGTTGATGAGCAAATTAAACCAGGTGTGGAACACAAAGCAGAAACCCAAAAACGAACAAAATAACCACAAAAAAACCCCCAAACTGTTCGGGACAAAGAGCCCATCTGTTGCTGATTGTACGATTGTGTGTATTTAAAAAGACATTTTTGGATCCTCTCCTCTCACAGAAACATTAGAGGAGAAACAGAGTTTTTAGCAGAAACACTGAGCTGCAGATGTCTTTGTCCCTCATTTCCATCTGCCACCGTGGACCCGAACCCCTCAGAGGAGCGGGCGCCTGCTACCAAAATACTTCTCACAGAACAGCAGGAAAATTAGCTTTGATGCAATCGTTTTCTCTCAATTGGCGTGGTGTGAACTGGTGTAATTGGGATTACAGCGAATCATTCTGCATCTTTCGGGAGCTTTGTTGTCAACCCCTGTGGGGTCCGAGCCCATTTTCACTGTTTTTGAGCACTCTCAATCTTCCCTTTTTGCGTAACATAAGAATGTTTTCCGTAGGTTTTCCTTTTCCAGACAATGTGTGTTACCTGTGTGATCTATTTTTTTAGGTATTTTTCCCAGTAGGGAGGCAGGAGGACTGGAGACCAACACAGAAACAGGGCACCCCTCAGACAGTCCATCATATTCACCTCTAAAGTGAATTCAGAATCACCATTTAGCCTGACATGCCTGTTTTTACACGCAAATATGAAAACTCCACACAATGGGCCAAAACATACACACAAATCAGTCATCTGGAGTAAAAAGACATATTTATCTATGACAATAAAAACCACAAACATGATCAGGGAACTGGTTTTGTTGTGTTTTCTTATCAAATTGAGTCAGTATTTTCTGCACATTTGTACAAATGTTACATAGGTGGTAGAACCGATCATACACAAGTATTTCTAACTATATAGGGCACATTGTTCTCATCAGTGGTGACAATAACACAGATAGAAACTGGGATGTCGTTCTCATCTCACAGCTCTGGTCTTCAAAGCTTGTTGTCCTGCATTTTTTTCCGGTTCAAAGAAATGAGTCAGCCCCTCAAAACCCAGCAGAAAACTCTCTGCAGACGGATTGAACTCTTAGGAATAATGTCACCCATTGCATGATGGCCTACTTCACCTGCAGAACCAGCTCACCTCTCTTCCTCCCACATTTCCCCCTCTGGTAAACAGCCTCTTGGACTGAAAACACGAAAACCTGCAGATGTTTCTTTAAAATCTCTAAATGGAACATACACCCTCCGTCATGTCGTGCTTAAAAGTAATTTTAAATTCACTGGTATTCTTTCTTTTTCCTTAACCCTTTAAAGCCTGATCCAAGAATAAAACAAAACAGAAAATTAATTTTTTGGGTTTTAATTCCTTATTTGGCCTTTTAACAAAATATGTAAAAAGAAAAAACAGAAATACATTTTTTATATTAATAGTTTATTACTATGCGATAAGTCCAGATTATTTTTTTTGTAGTCTTCTGCCCCCTGTTATCAGGTATATCTGATTGTGTACAATAGGATTTTGAGCAAAGTTTTTACCATTAAATTATGCAAAAGGTGTCAGACGCAAAACATTTCAGAAACCTTATGAATCAAATATGATACATTTGGCATTACAGGGTTAAAAAAATTCATAATCAGGTTGGCTTTTATGTCTCACCTCCATTAGACTGTTTCGATCCTCCCCAAAAAACAACTAAAACTCTAAAATCAACATTAAAAAAAAAATGATTGGGTCATTACTGGATTATCCTACATCTTATAATTTAGGAGAATTAAAAAAAATGGAATCATCATTTGGAGCAGATTTGAACCATTTTTAACAACTAACAAGAATATTTTTTAGTTTTTTTTAAGCTCTCACCAAAGAACAATGAAAAAAAATCGAATAAATATTAAATAAATAAATATAAAAAGGTTATCCAACCACCCGTTTAGTGTGGAGTCGGCGGAATAGATAACACTACAGCAGGCATGGTGCTGCTTTGGGTTTATTAGGGGTTTTGCTGGCGGTGTGCAGAGAGGAGCAGCACAGAGCTGCAGGGAAAGGCCTCCCACGGCTCCAGAAAGGTCACCAACGCTGCCCACATCCTTCCTGCCAGCTCCATTGACACAAATAACATTGTTGTAAATGGCAGTACATGATCCCTGAAGGACGCTAAACAGCAAAAGTCGATGAGGCTGTCAAATGAAACGCATCCGTTGAAGGCCGTCCTAATGAGAACGGCACCTCCATTAAAACGGGGGAGGATATTAGATTTAATAACAGCAGTCAAAGACGCATCGCATCAGGCTTTGTTTTCTTTTTTTTTCTTTTTATCTTTTGTGCTCTGAGTCTCTACAGAGTCTTCAGTGAGTCAGATTTAAAAGATGGGTGGGGGCGGAGTACAGAGCCCAAACAAACAAAGAGGACGCCGCTCTTGATGAGTTTTCCACACCTTCTTATTTTTAAAGATTTAAAGGTCTTCAGGGCTGTTGCTTTCTATGAATCACAAAAAGCTTCTGCTTCTGTTCCCCTTCCCTCCAACCCCCCATCCCTCCCTCCCTATGTGTCCTTGTTGTTGTGATTTGACGGTATCTGTGCTTAAGTGTACTGAGGTGTTTTTTTAAAATGACTGTTACGTCCCCTGTAGGGGGCGTGGCACTGGGCCTTTTTTTCCCTCTTCCCGCAACCGCTTTCCCAATGTATTCTTTTGTTCTGAAGAAAAATTGGTGCGCCCTCCTGTGTGGCTGCCCTCAGTCTTCCCGAACTGGTGTGTCTATGTGTTTTGTTTGTTTGATCTTGGTACGGGCTGTACTGGAAGTCAATTTCTCCATGGAGATCAATAAAGTATATTCAATTCAATTCAATTCAATTCAGTGGATTTCAGTTTGCAAGAAACACAGAACCGCTCACACTCAGAAAAGAGAGTAAAACTTGTCTGAAATCAGACAAACTTGTGTTAACCCGATTCTTTACTTCAAAACCTGAGAATAAACCAGAGTAAATAAAAAGTATATATACTATAGGCAAAGTATCTCAGCTGGGCTTTATGAGACAAAAACCTCTCTCTGGGTCTCAGTGGGCAAAGAGCCTTGAGATCTGGGTGTGATGGGTATTTGTCTCCTGCCCCCCCCCCACCCTCAAAAAGGACAGGGCACGACTGAGAGCTTTTTGGCCAGTTACTTACTAACCCTAACCCTGACATGAACCGGCCAGGTCCCAATTAATGCAGGTAACATTGAAATGTAACAAATGGTGTGGAATTTATTGCAATCAGAGAAAGAAAACACAGTCTGTGGACACAGCCAGAGACTTTGACACAAAGTTATGTTTCCATAAGGAATACAACAATCAGTCATTTACATAGATAACGTGATAGCATACTATGCTAAAGTGAGTGATTATAGCCAATTTCTAACACTTGAAGTGGTTACACAACGCTTCCAGCTCCAGAGCGATCCCACTTCCACTCCGGTGTGGGAGGGGGTTCGTTAGGGATCCCACAGATATCAGCAGAACAACAGGCAGCAGGACCTCTCTGTGGGGGGGGGACCCCACAGAGAGGGACTACCTATCTATCTATCTATCTATCTATCTATCTATCTATCTATCTATCTATCTATCTATCTATCTATCTATCTATCTATCTATCTATCTATCTATCTATCTATCTATCTATCTAGAGTACTATGATTCTGGTACGTGTCTATTTGTGGAACGAGGCTGTCTGTGTAGAGGAGAGGCTGCACCCGCTCTGATTTATTGATTCTCACCATTTTAAATGCAGTAATTAGTTTATTTTAACCTCCAGTGACAAAGTTCTCATTTCCCCCATTTGTTTTGCTTATGGCTTTTCTCCTTTTAGCAGTTCTGGTTCATTTGTTTTTACCTTCTCAGAGAGATAATCAATAGAAAGATGTATTTATGACTCAGGTTGTGTTTTGTCAGGCAGCCCAATCTTTATAGAAAATAAAAAAATATCCCTAAAGACTCAATTTATTTTTGATTTCTCATTACAGAAGAGTCCGTTCCATTACAAATTATTACAATGAGATAAACTGAATTGTATTCATAAATCTCTGCAGATCTCTGCGTGATACGCCTCCACAAACCTCCCGTAAAGACCAGACTCTGAAACATCCTTTTCCTTCCCACTCTCTCCAGATTTTACACCTTCATGCTTTTCCAGTAGATTAAATGATCCAAAACACCAGAAGGAGCACAGGCGCTTCTCTCTGAGTGCATTTCTCCTTCTGGGTAGAGGCAGATTTTGCTCTTATCGTGTCTCTTCGTCAGGGAGGTGGATCTTGATGGAGGACTCAGGCGCGGGGATGCAGAAAACAGGGTTTATTGTAACAAAAAAACAGGTTAAAAAACAGGGCTGTGGCAAAACTATGAGCAAAGTAACAAAACAAGGTTAACAAGACTGTGGAAAAGCATCAAAACAAGACTGTGGCAAAAGTGCAAACGAGATTAACAGGGCAGTGGTCAAACAAGGCTATGGCAAAGTAACAAAATAAAAATTAGGAAAACTGTGGCAAGGCTGTGGCAAAACATGCCTATGGGAAATAATCAAAACCTTACAGGACGCGGGAAACGAGGACTATTTAAACACATGAGGGAGGGTGTTACGGCTGCAGTGGGTCTCTGCTTTTTCTCCTTTTAGGTTCCTGGAGGTAGGCCTTCTACAGGTGTTCTGTTTTGTCCCTGATTGGTGCTCTGCTGCTTTAAAAGCTGTCATGCTGCAGCAGTCCGGGGGCTTTTTTTCTCCTCTCCCTCCTCAGAACCCCAGTTGGTTTGGTTTGGACCTTATGATTGAGTGTTGTTAGGTTTGTTTTGCGTTTGTTTATTTCTAATTGGTTATGGGTTTTGTATTAATCTGTTTTGCCTTCTTATTTCAGATAATCCCTTTTCAGGTTTTACTTAATATAATTGAATAAATTTCATTTTTAATTTACTCAGAAAATCCTTGTGTGGTCTCCATTAATGTGTTACCCCACCAAATGAGCCAGGTGGACGTAACAGAGGGGAACCCCAGGTGAACACAATAGGTGATCAACACATGACGAGACACCAGATATTCCCATAGACGTGACACTCCTGGCTTGTTTGGGAGAGCTTTGGGGTCCCTGGTTCCTCCCTGGAAAAGCCTCAGAGTTGTGGAAAATTAACTGAGAACTCAGAGGCTCCGTCGGTTGTGCCGGATTCCTTCAATCTGAAAAAAAAACCCACTGCCTCTTCACGCGTGAGGAGCAAATCAGAGCTCCTCTCTGCGTGAGTGTGTTCAGGTGCCGGGCAAATTAAAAGCTGCCGTGTTCCTGTCGCCCTCCGAGACGGAAACCGGCTGCAGCTCTGATTAGATAAGTGCTTTTTCTTCTCGGGCCGCCGCCTTCAGAACGCCGCCTCGGGGCTTCGTTTGGTTCCTGCCTTCAGGTTAATTTCTCTTTGGACAAACCCTCCGCTCCTCCAGCAGCTCTGAAGGGCCCAAAGTGTCAAGAGGAAGTTTAACAGAGAAAAAAACAAGATCAAGACTAGAGCTGTAACCCTCTCCGTGTTAATTGGGCTCCATTTTATTTCTCAAATGCTTTCAAAACTCTATCTATCACACATCCAATCGGTATTATAACACGTTTGGATGGTTATTAATGAGTGATGAGCTTTAGAAAAGACTCTTTATGATGTTTTTTTTAAATAAAAAGTACATTCAGTGTAACGATAAGCCGTGTTTCTCCATAATTCATAAGGGGATAAGGTCGCCTTTTCAAGAGGAATTTTCACAAAGAAAAAGCAAGATCAAGACAAGAGCTGTAACCCTCTTCAGGTTAATTGGGCCTCTATTTTATTCCTCAAATGCTTTCAAAACTCTCTCTATCAAACATCCAGTCGGTATTATAGCACGTTTGGATGGTTTAAAACACACATCAGAGTGATTAATGAGTGATGAGCTTTAAAAATTATACTTTCGGACGTTCTTTTCTAATAAAAAGTACATTCAGTCCTTTGATGTAACGATAAGCCGTGTTTCTCCATAATTCATCAGGGGTTTGGTTCCTTCCCCTCAATTTAAACAGACGACTAAATGGAGAAAGGTGTCAGGGAGGCACGTTCTCCTTTTTACTCTCCTGTTGTCATGAGCTGATTAGCAATGCAAAAGTGGAATTACCTTCCTGTGGCTCTCCAAGAAGCCGGTCGGCCGGCTTTGCATGCTTTATCCCAATCAGAGCAGCAGAAGCTCGGCCTCATGCATTTTCATCAGCGTCACTTTCCTGCCCGACTGTGATGAGTTATTTTCCCTCTTTCAGACTCATCAAACGCTCCAAACGCGAGTCTGCTGCTAAACAAAGGAGCTTAAATAAACACCATACAGTAATTAAGCCTCTATCACAGGCTTTGGTGAATCGTCTTCCAAGATCTGTAGATTTTGTTCACTCAAAATGTTTTATTTGCAAGATTTTCTATTAATATGGACGCTGAGTTTGACCTCAACTAAGCTGAAATTCTCTATAAAGAGTTGTATTAACAAATAACCACAATAAATAAGCTGAACTGTGTAAATTCAGCAGCTTATTATCCACAATTATTTCTGTCTTGTGGCTGAAACTAACAGAAAAAGCTCTGGTTTTAAACTGCCCCACGCGTTTTTGACACTGCCCCCTGGTGGCAGCTGGGGGCTACAGCAGACACAGTCGCGTGAGTTTTGTGGTGCTTTTGGGTCTTTTTAGCCGGTCTGATTTGTTACTCTGAGCCTGGTGTGCTGCATTTAGACCTAATGTGAGGCTCCACACTGAGCTTTGAGTGTTTTTCACTGTGTGAATGTTCAAAAAACGGTGCTTGATCACTCAAATGACTCAAATTAAGCTGAATCAAGGCAAAAAATATTCATAGACATGTTTTCCAAGAATGGAACCAAGGAGATGCAAATCGCCCCACAGTGTAAACAATTCTGGGAAAAAATATTGTGTTTCCAATAAATTCCTGCATGGTAATTTGAACCAGCTGTAGAATTAAAGATGGCCCCGACCATGAACACTTTGGTCCAAGGTAGAGGTGATGATGCAACCAGGCCAGAGAACTGGAGAGCTTTGAAAACTGGCCAAACTGCCTAAAAAGAACAGTGAGGATGGCAAAAAAAGCCCCAAAACCTCAAACATAGAGGTGGAACCAGGGATTTGGGCCCTTTACTGGCATCTTTTCTGGAGGCAGCAGCCGCTTTGACAGAGTTTAATTATTTATTGTCGTCTGTTCCGCGTTTCTGCGTCTTCAGATTCTCTCAAAAGCACGAGGACGGTTTCGAAAGCCGACAGCAGTCTGTTCGTCTTCAGAAAGCCGACAGAGGACCCGTGCTCCTGTTCAGAGAAGGATCCTCGCTTCATCTATCAATAAAAATGATTGCATGCATTCAGCTTTGATTTCAAATCTGTGTGCAGATTCCTGCCTGTAAAATGGCATCAAATTTCTTATATTTGACTCAGTTCTATGAATTCAGACGCTTTAGTTTCATCTTTTGAACGTTTCTTTTAATCTTCTTTCACTCTGAGAGTTCGACTTATTTTTCTCCATTTTTTTCTGCTTTTTATTTTTTACTTTTTGCTCATTTCTTAGTCGACACTCCAGCCACACAACCCAATCAGCCCTGGCTTCAACCTGCTGATGAGGCTCTGCCCCCCCTCCAATCAGAGGTGTAAACAGGAGCTCTTTTTCTTTTTTGTGGCTTCACCTTGACTCTCTTTTCTCAGCTTAATTTGGGAGTTATTCTGGGGTCGGCTGCTCGCTTTCCTCCATCCTCCTCTGGACTGGAGGATGCTCTGATACTTTAACTCCTCTCTGTACGGCATCCTTTGTTGATATGAACCAGTGAGCAAAGATGGACGCCTCAATGGGCTGTTGAACCCTTTAAAGGGCACATGTGAGACAGCTGAGGTTATCCTGCATTATGATGAATAAGGACTATATAAAACGGAGGGTTAAGACTGTAGCAGGTAGGTTAGATTTTACTTTCAACGATCAGTACTTGGAAATAGAAGAGATTAAACATGTAAAAGGGAAAAAGCTGGTCATCGAAAAATTCAATCTGTTGTTTTGAACTGTCATAAAGCCTCCAAATACATTCACCAACATGTTTTATAGAGTCAGGTGTCATGTTTTTTGTTAATTTTTTGCTATTACATTGATGTTAAATGTATGTTTTTATTCCAAAACTCATTAAAAGTTTGTTTATTATTTAACATTTGGTTTAAAGGAATACAAAAGGGGCTGATTTATGATTTGTAGTAGCAGATCCTTAAGTGTGAGAGTTAAAAGAGTCCAAATTCAGGGTCAGAGCTCACAAGAAAACGCTGTCCCTCTTGTAGTGATTTCACATTAAATACAACCTCCTCATTAAAACTCTGGTGGGAAATTATTCCGGGGCACAGCTGATCTTGGTCTTGAGGTGCATACCTCTGTGAAAAGAGTCCAAAGAGGCCGTGTGATGTTAAACCTGGAGATGAAAGGCCACGTTTAAGAGTCCGTGAGCAGCCGGCACATTTCTGTCCGAGTTCAGAGACTCTCTGATGAATAATTGGCAATGAGTCACAAAAGCTGCCCTTGGATGTGAGATATTCCTTTTTGAGATTTGCAGTTTTTTTTAGTGATCCAACCTTGAACACAGCGTAGGAACACGCACTGAATGTTTATTGGAGGGATTGAAGACATTCTGAGAGTGAGAGATCGTCTGATTGGAAAAATGGGGTGAAAATGGGGTAACCACATGGAGCTTTTTACCCCTTTTCTTCCTAAATTGTGATAAAACACAGCAAGTGTTAGTCTTAAATTAGTTGTTTAATTATGTTTTTGATTAGCATGTTTGGTCTGAATAATGTGCAGAAGCAGGGAACATCTAACCCCCCTTTAATACCATTTAATAATTTAAATAATTTACCATTTAATAATGTGGCGTTAACCCTTAGCTAAAAACTCCTACTTAGCTAAAACGTTTTGTTCAGATACCAAGATGCGTCCATTAACCCTTTAAAGCCTGATCCAAGAAAAATAGGAAGAATTTTTTTTCGTCTGAAGTCTTTCTTTGGCCCCTCAACAACATATGAAGAAAAAAAACAGAAATTATTTTGATCAAATTAGCGTGCAATAAGTAAAATATATATTTTGGTGTAGTCTTCTACTGGCTGTTATCAGGTATATCTGAATGTGTACAACAGGGGTTTGAGCAAAGCTTTTACCACTGAATGATGCAAAAAGTCTCAGATCCAAAAGACTTCAGAAACCGTATCAAATATGACACTTTTGGCATTATAGCGTTAAAGTCCTCCTGGAAGTCAGAGAACAGTGTCCTCACATCTGAACCAGGAACCACCTACAGAATCAGGTCCTCCACTCCTGTGAGCTTCTGGTTGGTAAACTGTGGGGATCAACTTCCTGAGCAACCTGCAGTCTTATGAACAGAGTCTCTCCAAGGTCTTTATTATGAGACACGAGGTCTTTTTCCATCTGAAGGCGCATATTAAGGATAAACTGCTCAGTCTCCATCCGGACCTGCAGCATGAATCCACCTCAGAGTGGAAAAACTGCAGTAAAAAACCCCTTCAGCTCTTATTTAAGGCATCATGGAACACTGAAACATTAGCTGTGGTGCGTTCAGGTTACCTGAGGGTCTGCAGAGTACTGCATTCTTCTTCAGACTTAGAGACTCAGACTCAGGTTTCCTTTATTATCATTGTGTAAAGTCACAGAGGGAATTTGACATCAAAATGTTGTTGCTTGGCTACCAGGTACAGCGAGGACTGTTTGTAGGTTAGATATTAAATACTGCGGATAATTACAAAAATAAAACTATAAATATGAATATAAAAGAGCTGAGAAAAAAAGTGATTTTTTTAAATAAGTAGAAACATAGAGTTGCGATCGGAAAATAAACATTCGATCCAAATGAAAGAAATAAAAAAGGAACAAATGAAAAGAAAGGGCTTTGTACCAACATTTAGATCCAGTCAGTTTTTTTCTGATCTGTTATCTGCTCAGACTGACTTTGACTTGATATGTGGGACATTTTGCTCATCAAATAATCCCAAATTAAGGAATGTGAAAAGCCTTGGTCATGGATTCAGACAACAGATGTTTTTGGTAAAAGCTTAGTTTATTTGTGGCATTTGTTGTTTACCGTTCAGTTACATGTGTGTTAGCTACACACACACACACACACACACACACACACACACACACTCCTGTGCATCAACTTTATATTTGCATAGACTCTTGTTTAGGCCCATCTAAACATGAATCTCTGCCCACATCGCCCTGCTCTGAATAGATCTGCCCTGCGGCTCTCTCATCTCACACAGCAACATTTGCATTATGGATATCAGGTTACCGTAGCAACGCCGCATAACACTGACGCCTTCAATCAGCCACCCAGGACCAAAAGTCTCCTGGTGGAAGTCTGCCAGGGATGTTGGGAAGAAGAACAAACCAGAGCACTTAGCACACCTGTCTGAGCGGGCAGAGGGTCCCAAATGAGCCAAATTGGAGGAGATGGCGCCTCAATAATTACCAATATCAGGGGCAATTTTGCCCCTTCTGTGTCTCGGCGTGAGCACCTGTGGTCCGGAAATAACACGGGCTGATTTCTGGATGCCACAGCAGCCAGAGCATTCGTCAGAATTAAAGACAAACTTCCAGAAAAAACACATAAAAACTTCTGTCAAACAGGCAAAAACAAAAGTTAACAAAATCCAACATGTGTCCACAGTTCGTTAGTAACCAGAATAAACCCTGTTTACCCAGAAAAATATCTATGGTATTGATTTTATCACCTGATTTTTTCTTAGAAACCCTGACCGTAACCCTAACCCTGACCCTAACCCTAACCCTAACCCTAAGACTAACCCTAACCCTAACCCTCCACCCTTCATAATTTTTGGTTAAACTTGTTTGGACTTATTGAACAAACATATTTAACATCCACTATTTTAACATAATATTATGTATAGAGTTTAATTCAGTGTTTGCAAGATTAATTTCACTATTTTTAGATTAATGTCTATATTGACATGAAGCAATTAGGATTTTTTTTTGCCTGGTATCTTCCTATTGGTGACCTAATCAAAATGGTTGAGGGACGGATCTCTGTCTGAAAGCACAATGAAGGGATTCAATTTGTTCCTCGTCTTTCTGAGTCATTCTGATCAAACTCTGAATCCTTTTATTGGAGTAAATTAGAACAGCCGAATGAGAAAGACCAAAGATATCTGCGCCATTTCACATTTTTAATGGATGACCATTTAAAATGGACGTTTGATTACGATTCATTCATAAGCTTTTTCTTTTCTTTTTTTTAAAATGAGTCACAGAAAAAAAAAACTTTTTGCAGAGGACAAACACCTTTTAAAAAAAAAAAGGAAAAATCAACGGCAACTCTTGCAAACTGCTGAATTAACAAAACCAATAAAAGCTAAGGAATTAAATCTAACACCTTTAGATTTTTAAGAGCAACCTTTAAATGTGCAAGTACAGATTCTCATTCATCCAGATCACGGTGATCCTGATAGTTTGAATAAAGGTAATCAGACTTTTGTTTTAAGGTTTGTTCTGCTCTGAGATGGTTCAGGATCAGGCTGAAAGATAGAGGCTAAAAAAAACAAAACAGCCTGCCCCATGTTGGACGGCGTTTAGCAGATTAAAGGGGAAAAAGTCCCATCAGCCAAGAGGAAACACCAACGCTTTGCCCACCTGTGGGTTCCCGATCCGAACTGGGTCTTTTGTTAAGTTCCAGCATAAATCTGGAGCGAACAGCACAGATGGAGGGTTAAAGCGAGCAGGAACGGACATGCTGTGGGGTCAAAGGTCACAGGACGCCCTTTAATATAAGGAGCAAAAGGGAACAGAAGGGATGGATATTCAGATGTGTCATTTTCCATTCTGCCTCTGAGCTACAACTGTGTCCTGTGAGTGTCGGGAAATATGGATTTTTTTCATGATTTGGTCTATTTTGAGTCTCTTTTGACATTTTGAGTGTTTCTAAATTGATCGTTGTTTTATCTCTGAGTTCTCAGTTTGTTCCCTTTTCCCTTTTTTTTTGTTTTTCTGCTCATTCCTCCCAGTTTTCCTCCGTTTTCCTCTCTTCTCCTGTGAGGCCTCCCTGTCTTCTCTGAGTCTGTACTGAACCCGTGTTGATTTTGGGTCAGTTACCACAGAGTTCACTGGGCGATTATCCGGTCATTACCTCCACAGTCTCATTTATCCAATAAAAAACCATTTCACCAGTTAATACACTGATCCCATTAATTACTGCCCGTTTAATCCGGAGACTTTTTAGAAGCTCACTGCTGCCGTATTATTAAAAACTGGACCAGGCTGACCCTCATTAGCATAAACCCACACAAACAACGTTTTGTTTTGACTCACGCACGGCTCCGGGAAACCAGTCGAGCTTCAAATCTGCGACTCAGGCTCTTCCCCTTGCATCCCATCTTCTGAATTGATTTAATTTAAAAGGACGCAGCTGCCAGTTGTTTAAGAAAATGAGCTCCTCTGTCAACAGAAGAAGAAAGAGGAGAAGGCTGGACTCTGCTGATTAGGGCTGAGTCACAAAGCAATTATACGGGCCGATCCAGTCCGGGGCTCCTGGTTTGTTGAGACAACACTAACAATAACACAATCGGAGTATGAATGAGCAATAGCCCGAAGCCGGACTGTGTCTCTCCTCCATATGAATAAGAAATGGAGCCTCCAGAGGAGGGAAGCCCCACTAGGTGGGGCCTCATGCTCAGAAATGAAACCACTCCTGTCGCAGTGTGTGGAACCCAAACAAAAGGTGGGTTTACTGTAGAATAAAGAGGATTTACTGGGTTCAGAGGGGGAGTCATAGTGGAAACTATGAGGCTAGAAGAGCAGGGGAGAAATGGTTTGGTCCCAGATGGATTAGAGGGGTCGGCTCCAGATTGGGGTTTGTCTTTGTCTTTGACTTTTTTTTTGCTTATTCTATGTGTACCTGCTTCTCTGTGTGTACTGTAAAACACTCTGACCGAGTCAAAGGTCACAGGACCCTGTTTTATTTCAGAAGCTAAAGGAAAAAGGACATGTCTGAAGAGCCCAGTGAGTAAAATTAATTAATTAATTAAATAAATTAATACTGACATATTGGATCAAGGGGGAGTGTTTCCAATGGGAAGGTGGTCATGTAACATATCAGAGAAGACCAAATTTGTGTCAGAATTCAATCGCAATAATCAGATTTGAAATATTTCTTGAATTTCAAATGCACAGACATTTGCACAGAAAGTTGCAACAACATCTGGGAACATCAGCTGTGATGCAGCTGCAGATATAATACGGCAGCCATGTTTCTGTGACTTCTAATTCATCCAGTAAAAATGAATGTTGACTGATCTGTGAGCGTTTTAGGACTAATTCTACATAAAATGCTTTATTTTGGAAGCAAAAAATGGTTCATATTTCTATTCAATCTTTCAATTATGCCATTATATTAAGATATCATTTCTTTGTGGTAAAAAAAAAGAGTTTATTCCTGCCGTTTCTGCTAGCTAACTTCCTTCTTTAAACAACTCTGACCAGACCTTGAAGTTGCTTCTGTTTCTATTTGTTTGACGTTGGCTGGCATATTCTTTAATATAACACAGTGTGCAGCACTTTCTGCTTTCTGCTGCCTGTGTTATTGATACAGATGCTCATGAGAAAATGAGTCACACTCAGTCATGAGAAAATCACCTCAGCTGGGATTAGCATGACTTTTCAGTCTGTTTGACATTTTTCCTTTTATTTACAGAGTTGTCTCTCCAACCTGTGACTCAGCTCCTCTGACATCCATCTAATTACCCCCAGTCCCACAGTGGCTGTCATTTAATGTCAATTCTGTCAGAAATAAACCCGTTCAGCTGATATTTTGTTGAGAAACGGTCTTTAGCTGTCATAATTAGCTGAGTACATCACACCAGTTGTGTTTGCTTCACAGCAGGAGACTATAAATAAGGTTGTGGGGTGTTTTTTTCATTGTTTCAGAGCTGAGTGAGTTGTTGGTGAAGTCACATCTGTGTCACTGAATGGCAGCGCCGGCCCTCTTTCTCTCTGACTCTGGGCTGGTTTCCTGTGCAGCCCTCAGTCGCTCTGCACCCTCAACAACATGGCCGTGCGAAGGAAAGACAGCTTCCTCTGGGGGAGAGGTATGTGCCCGAATCCATCATTTATTGTCGTCTCGGTTTTTAGAGCAAACGGCGGAAAATAAAGTCGATTGGAGGCGATTTAGAGAATTCGTTTCCCTGTGTGCGTGGAGCTCCTGTAGTCTGCTCAAAGCTCAAAGTTCTGATTGTTTCGCTTTTCTGTGAAGAAACAAGAAGTCATAAATTTGTCATAGTGGCAGGTATTGGCCCTTTGGACTATTTGAAAGCAGAAATGTGTGTTGTGATACCTGACAAAGTGAGTTCAGAGAACAGAACTGAACACCCTCTGATTTGTCTTCCTGGACAAAATCATCACAACCTGGGCAGAAATGAGCTTTGATGGTGGCAGGATGCTCTTAATCAGAGCAGCTTATTAAAGACGGGAAGCGGGGGTGTTATTTTTAGCCTCACACATTGACCACGGGCTGAAAATCGATTTATGAGCTGAAGAATAGACAAAAACCTCTCTCTGGGTCTCAGTGGGCAAAGAGCCCTGAGATCTGGGTGATGGGCATTATCTCCTGGGCTCCATCCGCCTCCTCAAAGGAGGACTGGACACAACCAAGTCCTATTGGCCAGTTACCTCTGGGCACGAACAGGCCAGGTCCTAATTCATGCAGATGACAGGAATGAGGTAACAAATGGTGTGTGTGTGTGTTGACCTAAAGGTGGATCTAATGCCAGAGAACAGCCAGAGAATTTAACACAAAAATAAAATAAAGTTCTTAAAGGAATAAAAACAATCGGTTGTCTCCATGGATTATGTGATAGCATACTATGCTAAAGGGAGTAATTATAGCCGAATTCGAACGATTCATTTTCAAAAACAAGCATATTCATCTTGCCTTTAAAGACGATTTGAAGCCATCGAGGTTAGCAGAGAGAGAAGGAAGTGACAAGGACGTAGTTATAAAGTTATAGCCAAATTCTAACATCAGCTCTGTGTTGGGTCTCCATCTCTGCTCTATTCTATCCTCCAGCTCCGCCTAAATCTGAGAGGAAGCAGGGCGACAACCTCAAGATGCACAAGTGTGAGCTGCTGGATGACATTCAGGTAGGAGCTGTGGAGAATATTACAGTGAAATGCATCATTACTATCCTCTGTTCACCCACCACACAAAAGGCTTTTTACTCCTCAACTTTTGATTGCAATATAAAGGAGTTTCAAGGTTGCTTCGTAACAGTGGTGGAAAAATTGACTGTGAGTCACTGACTCTGAGGTTTTTTCTGTGATGTAACACCAAAACCTTGCTCCTTCTCACTGGCTCTGACAGAAGCTGAGGCTGGAGATCAACAACGTCACGCCTGACGCACACAACCCCGAAATGAGGCAGAAGAAGTGAGTACGGGGGCCTTTTCACAGCGGCTAAACCTCTTCCTCCTTCAGTTTTCCTCCCATCTCGCACGGTTTGACGAGTTATCCACATTCATCCTGATTAGTGTTGAAGTCAGACATTAAGTCATTAACATGTAACATCGTAATTACTTTGAAAACCACAAAACAGGAATCAAGTTCAGCCGTCAAAGGACAGATGCAGTAAAAATAAACTAGCGGTAGTTAAATGTGGACACAGGGAACCCAAACAGTTCTTACTACTGTACAACTACAACCATACTGGACTAAAAGTCCAAATCCTACTTTTACCCATGATAGGTTCACTAAAAGTTTACAAAAAAGGCTAAAAAGATTTGCAGAAAATGTTGAAAGAAAGAGGAAGATTGAGTTTTGAGTTTGTGATTTCCTTTTCCTTTTCATAGAAAAAACTCCGCGAGGAACAGAAAATTCCTGCGTGGGAAAAAGAAATTTAACATGGACCCAAATTTGGTGAGTTTGTGCAGCGTTTCTGTGATAGTAGTCTAAGAAGCTGTACTGACACTGTTTTGAGTCTTTTTACCAACAGAATAAGTTCAAATAAAATCCCAAAAAGAAGGCCTAAGATGAATGGGGCTCATTTTACTGCAATTTATAGGCAACTTCTCAGTGATGAATAGATTTGGGGCCAATATTTAGTTAATGTTTTAGTCCGGTACGTCTCATTATTTGGAGTCAGGGATTCTAACTCTACCTCTTGTTTGTTTTTTTAGCTTTTGCCCATCAGCATTACAGAGACTTGGCTCTAAACAAGAGTTGAAATCCATTGAAAGTGTCATTTCTTTACAGCAGAACAGAGGAAACAAATCCAGTATCGAACTGAATGAAAAACACAAGCTCAATTAAGTAAGGATTAAATAGAAAAACCTGACACTTTAAACATTTTGACACATTTTCTGTGAGCTCTTATGATTGAAATAATGGCTTCTAAAGTATGTTTTACAAAGTGTCCCAAAGCTGATTGGACTTTGGGTGTTTTTAAATTGCTAAACTAATGCTGTTGAAAATGTGTCTGAAATCTTCCTTCTGAATAGATTTGGGAACCAGAACAATATTTGACCTTAAAGTAGAGCTATGAACATATAAGCCATCCATCTAACCCAGATTATCTCACAAATAGTTTGGTAATGTCGATTAACGCACATAAACCTGCTTTCGCTTTCTTGTAATTCATCCATTTAGTAATTGGGAACATAAATAGACCTTTTAGGGCCTGTAAAAGTACAAATATGTGTCAGGGGATCCCACTTTTAGCCACACGGGGTACATTAAGGGACTCGTGCACACTCTCCTGCTCCACACCTATTTTTGACAGTGTTGTTCACACTGAATTTCAAGTAGTTGATTTGTCACATGCTCCGTTACACAAATTCAAAATTCAGCACTAAAGATATTCAAATAAAATGTGTCTGAGAATATCTACAAAGAGAGAAATGAATGTATTTATGCCTATGCTGAAAATACACCAATTCTCTGAAGTTAAGCAACAGTAAAGCTACATTTAGACTCTAAAACGTCTTGTATTTAGAAATTAAGAGATCATAGTTCATGTTCAAACATAAATGTCTCAACAGTCATTTTGGAAGTTGTGTTACGAAACCACAAAAGATCAGAGGTGTTATTACGTGTCAGAGGAACTGCTTTAGGACACCAGTTTTTATTTGTTTGTGAAAAGTTTCACGTCTTTTTCACAGAATGATGGATGGATAGACATCAGATGGGTCAACCAAACACTCAACTTTAATTAGATATGTCTTTTCTTGGTCATTTTTAAGGGAAACTTTGTGAGTAAACGCCTCATTCATGAGCGTTCACCAGATTTAATCTAACCTCACCTGTTCTATGTACAGCTATGACTTTTTATCAATGACACAGGAAATAGACTTTGGTTAGCAGCTCCAGAAAAGGACAAGAACGGGGGCTTTTCAATTCAATTCAAATTAAATTTTATTTACACAGCGCCACATCACAACAACAGTTATATCCCAGCTTTCCAAACAGAGCAGGTCAGACTAGACTCTGAAGTTAATTACAGAAGAGCAACAATTCCCACCAAGAGCAGCACTGGGTGACACAGGGAAGGAAAAACTTCCTTTTAACAGGCAGAAACCTAGAGCAGAACCATTGCTTATCTGCCTTGGCCGGTTGGGGGGTGAGAGAGAGAGAGAGAGAGAGAGAGAGAGAGAGAGAGAGAGAGAGAGAGAGAAAGACAGAGGGAGGCAGCCGACACAGTAACACACAGACTGGATGAAAAATGGCAATTATATTGAAACTAATGATAATGATAGCAGTAATGCTAGGCAAGTTTATTTGTATAGCACATTTCAAAGTGCTTCACAGAGAATTTTGGTAGGTTGGTAGGTGGTTCCACCATCTTGGAACGACACATGCAAACAGTCTGGATTGTCTTAAGCGTGGTGAAGGCTCTGCTAGCTTAATTTTAGCTTAACTGGAGCCTTTAGATTGGAGGACCTGGATCTGGGTCAGTGGCCGGACGGCGTCCGGACGTTTTCCGCTCAGCGGATGTTCGTTCGTTTGTTCGTTCGTGTGTGAGACGAGCGTGACGATGCTCAGAAACTGGGCCTGCTCACGCTTAGTCTCGATGCCGAGAAAGAGCAGGCGACCACATCCTGTTCTCTGTTCTCTGGAGGGGAGCGGAGGCGTCGCCACAGAGACCTCCGTCTCACTGCGGCTCCTTCCTCTTCGGCTGAGTCCAGACTAGAGCCCAGCCCCCTCTCAGTGGGCCAGACTTCTCTGAGACCAGGGTCTCTTAGTGGAAATGATTAGAGGAAGTGGCCGGGTTACGGGTCAGGTTTGGAAGAAGCCTCTGAGATGACGATTAGAGCGAATAAATGACAGCAGTGACGAGAAAAGGAAACTTCCGGTACGCACGATAAGAAGAAATGAGTCTTGATAAGATCATTAACTCTCTCCTGCTCCACACCTATTTCTGACAGTGTGGTTCACACTCAATATGAAGTAGTTAATTTGTCACATGCTCCGTTACACAAATTCAAAATTCAGCACTAAAGATATACAAAGAAAATATGTTTGAAAATATCCACAAAGAGAGAAATGAATGTATTTATGCCTGTGCTGAAAATACCCCAATTCTCACAAGTTAAGCAACAGTAAAGCTACATTTAGACTCTAAAATGTCTTATATTTCGAAATTAACCCTGTATTGCCAAACGTATCATATTTGATACGGTTTCTGAAATGTTTTGCTTCTGACACCTTTTGCATAATTTAATGGTTAAAACTTTGCTCAAAATCCTGTTGTACACAATCAGATACACCTGATAACAGGGGGCAGAAGACTACACAAAAAATAATCTTGACTTATCGCATAGTAATAAGTTATTAATATTAAAAATGTATAAAAAATGTATAGAGCTGATAAATGACAGCAGTGACGAGAAAAGGAAACTTCCAAAACGCACGATAAGAAGAAATTAGTCGTGATAAGATCATTTACGCGAGCTGTGGCCAGTAGTTCACATGAAGAGAACTTCTCTTCTCAGTAGAAACACACAGATAATTACCCACAGCTCCTGAATTGATTAAATACACTCTCCACCCTTTTTCCTGCTGCAGGGTATCCAGTACCTGGTGGAAAACGGCCTCCTGGAGTGGCAGGCCCAGTCCGTGGCAGCTTTTCTGTACAAGGAGGACGGACTGAATAAGACCGCTATTGGCAATTTCTTGGGAGAAAGGTTCGGGATGGATGATTCTATCTGTATACCTTTTAAACACTTTTCCTGACTGTAAATGGTAACAAATGGTGTGTGTTTGCCTAAAAGTGGATCTAATGCAACAGAAAAAGAAAAAAAGAGAAAGAAAAAGAGAGAGGAAAGAGTCTGCGGACACAGCCAGAGACTTTAACACAAAATATATTGTAAAAGAAAATAAAAATCAGTAATTTACATAGATTAATTTAAAAAAAACAAGCATATTCATCTTGCCTCTAAAGACGACCTGAAGCCATCGAGGTTAGCAGAGAGGGAAGGAAGTGACATTTTCTATTTCAAATTGGAAATCTTAACGACTGATCCATTTATGTAAATATAACCAGAAAATTAAGTTAAAATAGATCATTTTGTCAAGTTAAACGTGTGGGAATGTAAATATCTGAATGCTAAAACTTCCAGAAATGTGGATCATTATGTGGAAATGTGCTATTTTTTTCTCAGATCAGATCATGATCATGAGTTGTGGAGAAAGTTTTCTGTGTTTTTAGACTCCAGGAGAAGTGTGTAGAGCCTTTGTGGCTTTAATCACCGTGTTTTTAACCTCCGCACAGGGAGGAAATGCATCTGGAGGTGCTGAAGGTGTTCGTGGGCCTGCACGAGTTCTCCGACCTGAATCTGGTGCAGGCGCTGAGGTCTGTGAGAGCTTTGCTTTCCCCCCTTCTCCTCGTTTCTCCCTGGAAGCTGAAACCGTTTCCCGCCCAAATGGCTGGGTTTTGGTGGGGGGTGTTTTTTCTAATTTTTCTCCGCCTGACAGGCAGTTTTTGTGGAGTTTCCGCCTCCCGGGAGAAGCTCAGAAGATCGACAGGATGATGGAGGCGTTTGCCACCCGCTACTGTGACTGTAACCCGGGGGTCTTCCAGTCCACCGGTAAGAAGCATTAAAAACCATTAAAAAGCATCCCTGCTTCTCAAGATAAAAAGAAAAGCCCCATAACTCCCTCCTCGACGAGGAAAAGTAATTGTTTGTTTCTCCTCCTGCAGCATTCACAAAGCCATTATCTTTAACCCTTTAAAGCCTGATCCAAGAATAAAACAAAACAGAAAATTAATTATTTTTTTGTTTGAATTCCTTATTTGGCCTTTTAACAAAATATGTAAAAAGAAAAAACAGAAATACATTTTTGATATTAATAATTTATTACTACGCGATAAGTCAAGATTATTTTTTGTGTAGTCTTCTGCCCCCTGTTATCAGGTGTATCTGATTGTGTACAATAGGATTTTGAGCAAAGTATTTACCAGTAAATTATGCAAAAGGTGTCAGAAGCAAAACATTTCAGAAACCGTATGAATCAAATATGATACATTTGACATTACAGGGTTAATTTTCTAATATAAGACATAATAAGTCTAAATGTAGCTTTACTGTTGCTTAACTTCTGGGAATTGGTGTATTTTCAGCATAGGCATAAATATATTCATTTCTCTCTTTGTAGATATTTTAAAACATATTTTCTTTGCATATCTTTAGTGCTGAATTTTGAATTTGTGTAAGGGAGCATGTGACAAATTAACTACTTCAAATTCAAAGTGAACCACACTGTCAGAAATAGGTGTGGAGCGGGAGAGCGTTAATGATCTTATCAGGACTCATTTTTAGTCAGAAACAAAACATTTCAGAACCCGTGTGAATCAGATATGATACATTTGGCATTACAGGGTTTACAGCGGCAGTCTGAAAGTGAAATAAACCCCGGCTGTGGTTTTTTCTGTCGCAGACACCTGCTACATCCTGTCTTTTGCCATCATCATGCTCAACACCAGCCTCCACAACCCCAACGTGAAAGACAAGCCCAGCCAGCAGCGTTTCGTCTCCATGAACCGAGGCATCAACAACGGCGGGGACCTGCCCGGCGAGCTGCTCACGGTCAGCCTCTTCCTCCTCCTCTTCCTCCTCCTCCTCTTCATCACGGCCAAATCAAACCGTGTTTCTGTCGTATTCAGAAAAACCAGCAGCATCAGAAATGACTCCAGTCCATATCTATCTTAGAAAGTTCAAATTTAGCCCTATAATGCCAAATGTGTCATATTTGATTCATACGGTTTCTGAAGTCTTTTGGATCTGAGACTTTTTGCATCATTCAGTGGTAAAAGCTTTGCTCAAACCCCTGTTGTACACATTCAGATATACCTGATAACAGCCAGTAGAAGACTACACTTTCTTACTTATTGCACGCTAATTCGATCAAAATAATTACCTTTTTTTTTCTTCATATGTTGTTGAGGGGCCAAAGAAAGACTTCAGACTAAAAAAAATCCAATATTCTTCCTATCTTTCTTGGATCAGGCTTTAAAGGGTTAACAACAGCTTAGCAACTATAAATGTTTGAGGATTGTTTTTCATTCTGTTTTTGCACAGAAAAACAGAAAATGAATATAAAATTAAGCTGGTTGGGATCCTCAATGAACTCAAACAGTCACAGCATAGAGAAAAACTCAGCCAGCTGTGCAACATCTGGCTTTTAAAAAAAAAAATTATTTGATTTATTGCAGGGTTTTCCTCAGTTCAGATGACAGCTTTGTACCCGATTTAGCCAAATAACCCCCAGGGTTTTCCAATTAAATACCAATAGCTATGTCGAATAAATCACTTGCATTTGAAAGTCAGAACTCAGAAAAAAACACTTTTAATGAAGGGCCTAATCATGAGGAGGTGGAGTGGTGAACTGGGATGGGATGATTGGGTCCAAACAGAGGTGAGAGGAGGACAGGGATGAGTTGGATGGGTGATGAAGAGGAGAAGTGGGAGAAAGAGACCAGATAGATAAACAATTGGATAAGAAATAGCTTTTGGATGGTCTAAACAGATATCAAATTTCCACTGATGGTTTCTGTTTTTTAGCACGTTATAATCTGTTATGATTGAGTTAAATTAAATTTAGACACCAAATCATAACAAACGTCACCGTGATGCCGTCCAACTAAAAAATAATCCAATTTGTGGTAATTCCACTCAAATCCACTCAGACCAGAATGATTAGATTTAATCAGAATCACATTCAATAAAATAGAAAAGCAAGTTAATGACGGCAATAATGTCACATGGAGAGGAACATGAGCAGAGGGAGGAGAGGTGCATCATGGGAACTCCCCAGAAGTCTATAGAGGGAGGAGAGGTGCATCATGGGAACTCCCCAGAAGTCTATAGAGGGTGGAGAGGTGCATCATGGGAGCTCCCCCCGATCCTCAACTTTCAGCTTTTATCAAAATGGAGTCTGGAGCCTGATCTCACAGGTCGGGGGGGGTCTTCTTCCTGCTTTTATCCAGAAACTCTACGCCAGCATCCGCAGCGAGCCGTTCAAAATCCCCGAGGACGACGGCAACGACCTCACGCTGACCTTCTTCAACCCGGACCGCGAGGGCTGGCTGCTCAAGATGGGTGAGGCCACTGTGAGCGGGACCTCAGGGGGCGTGGCCTCTTGGGCGTGGCCTGTGGGGCCTAGCCCTCCAGGGGCGTGGCCTTTTGGGCGTGGCCTCTGGGGCGTGGCCTCCGGGGGCGTGGCATCTTGGGCGTGGCCTCCAGGGCGTGGCCTCTTGGGCTTGCCCCATCGTCCCCGGGGCGTGGCCTCCGGGGGCGTGGCCTCTGGAGCGCTGCTTCCAGGGAATGGCCTCGGGGGTGGGGTCCATCTGGGCGTGGCCTCCAGGGGGGTTCCTCCGGGGGCGTGGCCTCTTGGGGGCGTGGCCTCTGGGTCGTGGCTCCCCAGGGCGTGGCCTTTGGGGTGTGGTGTGGCCTCCGGGGCGTGGCGTTTTGGGCGTTACCTATGGGGGCGGGGCCTTTAAACCCTCCGGATGCTTCATGTCTCTGCTCCTCCCCTCTGAAGGCGGCCGGATCAAAACCTGGAAGCGGAGGTGGTTCATCCTGACCGACAGCTGTCTGTACTACTTCGAGTTCACCACGGTGAGTCTCCGTCTCCGTCTCCGTCTCCACGCCGCCGCCGTCGCCACGGCGACCGCTTCTGACCCGTCTAAATCCACCAGGACAAAGACCCCATCGGCATCATCCCCCTGGAGAACCTCTGCGTCCGGAAGCTGCAGGACTCCAACAAGCAGGTTTGTGACCTCAGATCAGAGGAGTCCGCTGCCCACAAAAACTTAGTTTTAAGTATATAGTATAGATAGTACAGATAAGTATATAGTGTAGATAACACAAAAGTCAGTGCACTGAATGTACTCGGATGACCCCTAAAATCGGGAAAAAAAATTCTATGTGGAGTGATGGACACTAAACGGACGCCATCTTGACTACAAAGGGAAGGGGAAGGACCAGGGAGGACAGCGAGTTTTATATTTAGTAATATTAGTTGATAAGTATTGTGACATAAATGCAAATACCTATGTGAACCTGCTGGTGTGTGTATATTAGTTATACATCAACTTAACGTGAGGAATTACTACTGAATTTGTAAACAATTAAAGGAGACATATTATACCCTATTTCCACAAGTTAAACTAGTTCCCTGGTGTCCTAATGTAATGTCTGTGACAAGCTTTGGTCAAAATCCCATAAGGATGAAGCCCAATAGCAGTTCAGTCCCCCTGCCTAACCCTAACCCTAACCCTAACCCTAACCCTAACCCTAACCCTGCCAAAACAGCCCCGTTCAGAGCGCTCGCTTTGGAGTGCCTGTCTCTTTAAATGCAAATGAGACACAGGCAACCCACCCACTTCTTCCGGGAGGTGTGCCCACGTCGGCACGCTAACGCTACCATGCTAACGCTACCATGCTAATGCTACCATGCTAACGCTCACGCTACCAGGACGTCTGCCACAGATAGGGGAGTAAGCTGAGGGGGGGGGCAACATGCAGGTGAAAGGCTGGAATATTATAATGACCTAGAGCTAATGACGTCAGAAACTACCCACTCCTGAAACCTCCTGATTTATCTCCTGGATTCAGACTGAGGCAGCCCATAAAAACATGACTGAGTAATTTTTTTTCACACTTTGGCTGCTGATAGGCCCTCCACAGTCCCAAATGTACATGATCAAATGATTAAAAACTTGGTTTTGCATAATATGTCCCCTTTAACATACCTCATGTTCATCTAATAGAAGGAGGTGGTGAACGTGCAGAAAAAAGTTTTTAAACAAAGGCTCCGAAGCCCCAGTTGCCCACTGGTGGTACTGGTGTGTGATTGTGTGTGTGATTGTGTGTGTGAATGTTTGTGTGATTGTGTGTGTGATTGTGTGTGTGATTGTGTGTGTGAATGTGTGTGTGATTGTGTGTGTGAATGTGTGTATGATTGTGTGTGTGAAGCTCTTTGAGTGGTCAGTTTAACCAGAAAAGCTCCGTATAATTGCCTGTATATTTATTTTGTCTGTGTGAGAATGTGTGTGTGATTGTTTGTGGGATTGTGTGTGATTGTGTGTGTGAATGTGAGTGTGATTGTGTGTGTGGAGCTCTTTGAGGAGTCAGTTTGACCAGAAAAACGCTGTATAATCGCCTGTATATTTATTTTGTCTGTGTGTGAATGTGTGTGTGATTGTGTGTATATTTATTTTGTGTGATTAGTTCGGGCTGGAGCTGTTCAACCCCTCGGGGCAGAAGATAAAGGCCTGTAAGACGGAGCCCCGGGGCCGGGTGGTGCAGGGCAAACACCAGTCCTACCGGCTCAGCGCCGCCTCCGCAGAGGAGCGCGACGAATGGATGGACGCCATCAGGTGACCGCCGCCGCCAGGCCTCAAAAAGCCCCCCGGTCAGCCCCCAGAGGGTCCAGAGGGGCCAGAATAAGGAGGATTTAGCAGGAGATGTTAGAGGTTCTGATCCAAACGCCATCTCAGGGAGGACCGCTTTCTATTTAACCCCTTAAAGCCTGAATTTATATAGATGTACACAAAAAAAAAGGTTTTATGTGTGTTTATGCATTCAAGTAGATGGTAAATAATGTTAAGATTATTAATAAATAATAATTATGAATTATTGCATATGAATTAATGTATTTTTTGTGCAAAAGTAAAATTAATAATTAATTAATTATTATTATTAATTAATTCATTATTCATTTTACTTTATTAATAATTAATTAATAATAATTCTTAATTCATTTTACTTTTGAACAAAAAATAAATAGAAATGTTGGTATGTTACAAATTGGCATAATGGTCAATTTGGGGCCAATTTGGTAACACAATAACACAGTAATATAACAGTGTAAAAAAAGGTTTTATTTATCCACCCTTTTTTTACGTCTTTATTTAGTTGTCGAGGTTCCCATGTCCGTAGTGAGTTGCATTAACCGTTTGCGGGGGGGTGCAGACGTTATCTCGGCTGTTTGATCGAGTCAAATGGTTTGTCACATATTTGTGAGGCTTTAAAGGGTTAAATCAGACAATTGGAAGACCTTGTTTGTCGGATGAATACGAGACTTTCTTTGCTATTAAACGGTAGAGTTTCTGATGCAAGGACCCAGAACAGAGAAGCTGAAAGCAACACGAAGGCTGAGTTTGTCTTCTTTTTCCTCAGGGCGAGCATCACCAAGGACCCTTTTTATGACTTGGTGTCTCTACGAAAGAGGAAGGTCACCAGCAGCTCTCCAACGAAGGGCTGATACAAAAGCAGCCTGGGTGTGTTTTTTAACGCCTGCTCGGCCTCACAGGAGCTAATCGAGGTCTTTCTCATCAACGTACAAACTGGGAATTGTTGCATTGTTTGCATCCTGAGTGATGCTAAAGACTCAAACTGACATCATAAAAAGAGCAAAACACTGGAAAGGATCAAACTGGAAAGCAAAACGACCACAAAAATAATCAGAAACTAAATGGGCAAAAATATATGAAACAGTGAAGAGATGAGTTATCACAAAGGCAAAAATGAAAGAGAAATAATCATAAAGACAAAATACAACAAGCAGAAATAGAAAAAGTTTAAAATATAAAAAACTTTTATATTTTAAAAAAATAAGGTGGCAGCCCCCTCTCTCTGGGCTGCCACCTTATCGTGGTGGAGGGGTTTGAGTGTCCCAGTGATCCTAGGAGCTATGTTGTCCGGGGCTTCAAGCCCCTGGTAGGGTCACCCAAGGCAAACAGGTCCTAGGTGAGGGATCAGACGAAGCGCAGCCCAGAAGACCCTTATGAAGATGAAGAATATTGGACTTCGTGTACCCTCGCCCGGGCGCGGGCTACCGGGGCCCCCCCCCTGGAGCCAGGCCCAGGGGCGGGGCACCATGGCGAGCGCCTGGTGGCCGGGCTTTCACCCATGGGGCCCGGCCGGGCCCAGCCCGAAAAGGTTACATGGGTCCCCCTTCGCACGGGCCCACCACCCGTGGGAGGGGCCATAGGGGTCGGGTGCAGTGTGCCCTGGGCGGCGGCCGGAGTCGGGGATCTTGGCGGACTGATCCCCGGCTGCAGAAGCTGGCTCTAGGGACGTGGAACGTCACCTCTCTGGCGGGGAAGGAGCCTGAGTTAGTGTGCGAGGCGGAGAGATTCCGGCTGGACATCGTCGGTCTCGCCTCGACACACAGCTCTGGCTCTGGAACCAGCCTTCTCGAGAGGGGTTGGACGCTCTTCTACTCTGGCGTTGCCCAGGGTGAGAGGCGCCGAGCAGGAGTGGGCATACTCATTGCCCCCCATCTCGGTGCCTGTACGTTGGGGTTTACCCCAGTGAGCGAGAGGGTAGCATCCCTTCGCCTGCGGGTGGGGGGACGGGTCCTGACTGTCGTTTGTGCCTATGCGCCTAGCGGCAGCACAGAGTACCCACCCTTTTTGGAGTCCTTAGAGGGGGTACTGGAGGGTGCCCCCTCTGGGGACTCCCTCGTTTTGCTGGGGGACTTCAACGCTCACGTGGGCAACGACAGTGAGACCTGGAGGGGCGTGGTTGGGAGGAATGGCCCCCCCAGCTTGAACCCGAGCGGTGTTCTGTTTTTGGACTTCTGTGCTCGGCACGGATTGTCCATAACGAACACCATGTTCAAACATAAGAGTGTCCATATGTGCACCTGGCACCAGGACACTCTAGGCCGCAGTTCAATGATCGACTTCATTGTCGTTTCAGCTGATCTGCGGCCGCATGTTTTGGACACTCGGGTCAAGAGGGGGGCGGAGCTTTCC